TTATTGCAAGGCTGCCATGATCATACAGTAATTACAAGGGACTCCTCCCTCACACGTTTATAACTTTCTGTCTTTTTGAACTACTTTAATGGATCAAGACATTTTAAAACAACAAGAGGTTGGGTAAATAGTTTTTGGGTGAGCTATTTTGAGAAACTCCTTCTTGACATTTACAGATAACGCATTCAAAAACCATAAAAATACAATTTAAGTGCTATATTGAGGACAACATTTCTGATTTTCTTTTCTCAATGGATGGTTATGGTGGACTGAAAACTTTATCTGAACATGATTAGCACACCGTTGAACACTGTCCACTGCAATTTCCTTTATTGTGAGAGTTTCATTAGCAAAGGTTTCATTCAATACCTGAAGCCAAAGAACATATTATGACTTTAGTAGACCTGAGGCTGTTGGATACATTTTAGACACCTGGGAATTCAACAGTTTCATGAACTAAAAAGTCTATATTCTAATTGACCCCCTCAGTGAGTTTTATTTTTTATTTTTTTAAATTATCATATTTGGAATTGAATGTGTTTTGTCATTTAAACACCGTTATAATGATCATGTTAGTTGATATACACTCTGTTAGTTAGAAAAAAAAGACTGTCAGTGCTAATCAATAATATTGTTGAATATAACATATCTAAAATATTAAATAGTATATTATAATACACATGTTACAAGAAAAACCCCATGCCTCTTTAACAAGCACAACCCCATGCCTCTTTACTGGATTCTTTATTAATAGACTCATTTCAACATTTTTGTGAAGCTATCAAGTTTTGACTTGTGGAAAATATTCTGACACAGCAGTTTATTACTCTTTGATATTGCTATTCATTTTCAGAAGAAATGAACCATGAGAGATCTATTTGGATCGTAGCGCTTTCCTGACTTCCCTTCATTTAGCGTTATCATTTGTTCTCTGGGGCTTGTTGATTAAACATATTAATGCCAGACGATAAGAAAAATGCTTGCAGGAAAACAGTGAAAACACACAGCTGGCGTGAAGCTAAAAACTGTAGTAATAACGAGGCTTACATCCGCTTACAATAACGCTGCTGTGCTGCCGACAAACTTTAACCCCTGCAATTAATTGTTGGTTCCTATGCCGTATTTGGATCGCACTGGGTGCCTGAGCCCATATCTGGAGCCTGCAGACCCCAGTGTGAGAGCAGAGAGTGATTTTATCAGCGGGCTTACTCAGTCAGGAATCCACAAGCTCAGCTTTCGCCCAGTAATACCGTGCGACAGAGTGATTTAACGCAGTAAGGCTGTTGTCACTGGCCCCTAAATGAAAGCTGACAGGATCATGGGGTCTTCCTTTGCATCCACAAACTGCCTGAAAGAGGAAATCAAACACCCAAAGTGATAGAAAAGCTAACAACATATACTCGCCATGAGGTTGCCTAGTTGAATCGGTCTACTCTTGAATTACCCGACTGGCGTCAATGCAATGCTAACAGCATGTCTGATTGGTAGTTAAACCCCAAGAGTGTTTTCACAGCCTGGCTGATGTATTTCCAAGGTGATTGGTTTGTGTGTGTTTTTTTTTTTTTTTTGGGGGGGGGGGGGGGTTGTTTTACTCAATCAAAAATGGTTAATATATCAATTTGTTACGGCAATGTTTTAGTCGCTTGAAATGTCAGACTCTTAACACTAATCTAATAAACGGCTTATAATTAATCATCTCAGTAGTTAATTAATTTAAAGTTCTCTGTGATTCAGAGGCGGAGAAGGAAACCTCAGCCTACGAAAGAAAGATAACACTTTATAACAGTAAACTCATCCTGGTGGAGTTTACACTCTTAAAAATAAGGGTTATTTATTGGCATCAATGGTTCCATGACGAACCTTTAACATCCATGGAATCATTGCATTGAACAAATGGTTCTTTTATTGCGGAAATAGATTTTTTAAAGGTTTTAATCACTAAAAGAAAATGTTTCTTTTAAGAACTGTTCACTGAAAGGTTCTTTAGAGAACTAAAAATTGGTTCTTTATGACAAAAACCTTTGGAACCCTTATATTTAAGAGTGCAGGCTTTTCTAATATCTAGCTTAAAGTCAACGCATTGTAAATTGGAATTGTGATTTGTTTCTGAAGGACATTGAATATTACATTTGATTTTTTACAATATTTGATTGGATTATGAATAGTCAACCTGATCTCTGTACGAGAAAATGTATGTTCGTATGAATTTGTACGATGTGAATCATATCATCGATTATTAGAAAAAGTAAGCATGAAGGTCCATGAATTCATGAGCAGATTGATGTATGAATACGAATTGGCCACCAATTCGCCAAACCAGTTATGAATTGCCATGATATTGTGATGGAATAGTGGATGTTCAGAATGGTGAGTAAGTTTACAGTGGATTAAGCTATGAAATGCATTTTAAGAAAGTAAGTATTTTGATCTCATTTTGAATAGAGTTTAATGTAAAGATAAAACTTTAAAGAATGACAAAAAATCCTCAAGCACATAAAGCTTTAGTTTGCATGTTCATATTCTACATCCCTTAATCACTGTAAACAAAACAAAAAAAAAAAAAACAATTTTTTACGGTAAAATACCGGCAGCTGTGATTGCCAGAACTTTACCATCAAAATTATGGTAGCAACGTTATCGGTTTCACAGACTTAACTTAAAATTTACAGTAAAAAATCATATTTCATTATCTGAAGTGATGTTCATTTACCAACATACTGAAGTATTAATATCTGTTTTGTAAAATTGTAACACTGTAAACCACCATTCACAGCAGTGAAGAGAGTCATGATCAAACTAAGCTCAGCACAAGCAGTTTTCCACAAGAAAGTTAATACTATATAAGCTGCAGTCTCATTCACACTTAAACGATAATGTTTAGAAAAAACTGATAAATAAAACGATAGAATAGAAAAAAAACTAAGAAAACTATGAAGAAAGAGTTATTTAGACAAAAACACATCAAATGTGAAGCGTCACGCAGGGAATTGTGGGAATGTCGATTTACGGGTTTTCACTGTAAATTATACGAGTTGTTCTTTTTCACTTCCAAAAACAGGAAATCTAACATTTTTTTACAGTAAAATTACATTAAATATCTATCACAGTTATTTACTGTATATAGTAAGGAAACTTTGTTAAACAATTAACAGTTTTGCACTGTACAACCTGGTCTCATCCCAAGACGTCATATAACTGACGTTTTGGGACGTCTTTTGACCATACGTCAATATTCGCCTTTTTAGGGCCCCCTTAATCGTCGGTAGATGAGGTTGTGGGATCCTAACTCTACCCCAGACCTAAACCTAACCCGTCACGTAACTGACGTTAAAGGTAAAGCGTCAGTTGTATGACGGCCCGGGATCGCCATCTACCGACGTTTAATGGTCAAAAGACGTCCCAAGACGTCAGTTATATGACTTTTTGGGATGAGACTGTGTTACACTGTAGCAAATTTACTGTTAAAATCACGATAATTTTTAACAACTACCATATTACATCTATTAATAAGCAGTAGTTAGAAGTTTACTGAAGTAAAAGTAATAGTTAACAGTTAGTTAATAGTGAGAAATGGACCCTAAACTATAACAAAAAGGTACAAAACTTAATTATTATTAAACTTCAGCTTTCAAAACTTCACTTTGTACCTGTACATCAACCCAACATATCCCAGAGCAACATTGCTATTTGGAGAAGATTAGCAAGTCATTTCCCAGTGAGATGCAGCCTGTGGCATGCCGTGCTTGATCCGTTTTTTTGTGTTGAGTTTAGTATGCATCTCCTGTTGTGACAGAGCGAGCTTCAATATGGTCTCAGAGCAGAGGCACCAAGGGCCAAGAGCTCGTTGGCACCAGACAATCATCTCTCTAAACTCAACAGACTGTTTCTCGGCCAGTGCTGTTTAATTGGCGCATTGTCGACCCTGATGAGTGCAAAGGTTCTGCTAACAGAAACCGCACGTTTATTAAACTTTCCGCAGGTTTGAGAAAGACAGCGACCAATTTTACACCCACCTGCCTCACCTTTATTTACAAGTCGGTGTGTGCTCCATCATGCTCAGTGAACTGTATAGCCGTAGAGCTCTAATGATTCCCAGCGTCTATTAAATCAATGGAGATTCACTCCTGGGAGTGATACTGGAAAGAGAATAGCAAATGGTGCTCACATACTGTGAGTCTATTAAAACCCAGTGACAGGACACAATGAATAAGAATTATGGCTAGCATTTATGAGCAATTCTGGCCTTTTTTCATGTACCAGAGATGCTTGCAAATGAACAGGGCCATTGCTATTGCTATTTCCTGTGAAACGAGACATTAAAACGTGAAAAATGTGACCTTTACATTATCTTTGCATGCTCAAAGCAATGTTTCTGTTAGTTTTCTTATACTCAAGTTTTACCTTGGCTGTGTTCAAAATCATTCCCTACAGTAGACCACTATATAGTCCACTTGAAAGAGTGAATGAAAACGAGTGAGTGATAGTTTGTGCAGTTTAAGTAGCTGCAGCAGCTCCAGTATGAAAAGATCTTCAAGTCTTTCATGGTAACTAGCTTGTATAAAACTTTTACACAATTTAATAATCAATTAAAAATGAATATATGCCTGTATGATATTACGCTGTACCCACATTGGACCAGCGGTTTGGAAAATGGATGGAAGGATCAGTCAGCAGCGGGCGCCATTTTCTGTTCAGACATGGGAATTGATTTAACTCGACCCTAACAGTGCATTACGGGTATTATCTAGCCGTTGAGCGTACATCTCAACGGTTGTACACTCGTTATTGCGGTGCATTATGGGATTGAATAAGAGCACTCCATGTCCATTATGGTTTCAAACACCACCACAAATGGTTATTCCCTCATATAGTGTCCTATTTAAATGGATAGTTCACTTTGAAATTAATTTTTGGTATGTTTTAGCTTACCTCAAGGGCATCCAAGATGTTGTCTTTGTTTCTGCAGTAGTTTCAATTTTGATATTTTTAGGTCAAACCGTTCTTGTCTGTCAGTATGTAATGCAGGTCTATGGTCACCACCTCAAAGAGCATGCACAGAGAAGTCCAAATTAAACATGATTTAAGTACACATTGATGGCCTGAGACACGAAACGAGCGGTTTGTGTATAAGAAAACGAACAGTTTTTATATCGTTTTTACCTCTTGTAAGCACAGCAACATGCACTTTATACTGGCATCAGCAACAGTTGGTTGTGGTTGCCAAACACTGAAGCAACTTGGCACTTTACTCTGAATGCATGTCCTGTAGCAGTCTTCCAAAACAGAGTGACTTTGCCTGATAGCTTAACAGGTGAAAGATAAAAAACAACATAGTAAATTATAGGCTTAGCAGGTGAGAGATGAGAAAAACATGGTAAATTATAGGCAGCATGTTTTGAGACACTGTGATATAATGCAGTGTCGTAGAGGCAGGACAAAAATATTTGGTGTCATGATTCAATTTTAAATTCATGCCCATAGTTTTCTCTGGCTGAGAAAAACACTTGGTGTGACATTTTTTACAAAAGTAATATAAAATATAAAACATTTTTTCTTTGGACAGCCAATATTTCTCTTCTGCTGTCTAAAGTTACAATGCCTATTCTAACTCTCTAGCTGTTGGTTTGGAGTTTTCATGAATAATAACAAATGCTTAAGAGAATGCAAATGAGATCACAGGCAAAAAGTTAGGAAAAATAGTATGACTGAAAGCAATAAAAAGATCTTTAACATTAAAGGGATAGTTCACCCAAAAATTAATTCCGAATTAATTCCAAATCAAGACTTTGGTTTATCTTTGGATCACAAATGAAGATTATTTGCTGATGAAACCATGCGGAAGTCACATAAATTGAAATATATAAGTAGTAAATACATTTCCATGTATTTAAATCTACTAATTCTAAATAGAAGAAAATAAACATTTTACTTGCATTTAAATACATTTTGAAACACACACACACACACACACACACACACACACACACACACACACACACATATATATATATATATACAGTATATATATATTCAAATATTTGATTTTGGCCCCTTTTTAATATTTTTCACATATTAAGCATCTGTAAATATATTTTTTATTGCAAATTTTTAATTTATTTATTTTCTTAATATGTCAATATGTTTAGATACCATCTATGTAAATTCATTAATGTTCAATATATGTGCATATATTAATTTATTTATTAATGTTAATATATTAGTTATCTGTATATTTAAATATATTAATTTATAATATATGTTAATATATTAGTTATTTGTAGATTAATTTATAATACATGTACATATATTATTTATCTGTATATGTAAATATATTAGATATCCGTATATGTAAATATTAGTTACTAAATCAATGATGATACTTTAATGTATGCTTTTATTTGAGATACATTCAGTCTTTTATTGGAACAGGTTTGACACATGTTTCTTAAACCAAAAGATGGCTGGATTTGTAGTCGCCTGATGGGAGAGTAAAAAACGAATACAAAAATATGTTAAAATCGCTCCTGGTCATAGTATGAGGTGTGACAAGAAAAGGAGTCCCAAATGGTTTGCCTCTATCAGTCAGTTCTTTTACTAATGACTGTCCCGAGGGGGAGAGGTCTCAAACGGCGGTGTCCTACATTCAGATACGAACAAGGGCGAAATCAATACCCCTTACCAGAGATAATATCTCTCAGAAACAAGACTTGATTTAAAATTGGAATAAATTCTTTGACATTACATCAAAGGACCTAAAAATGTCTCTGTAAAAGATTACGTTTCATAAAATAAATAATCATCCTCGTTTTAAAAAACGATTAAGATTGATTATTAAGAACCCATCTTAGCATGTACGGCCTCTTATTTTAAACTCCTTTATGGGCACTCAGTGTTGCTAAGCACAAAATTAATTGGTTTTCATTGACTCAAGTCATTTATATAAACATTTAATTAAACAAATCTTTAGGGTACGGAGATAGCCAGGGGAATTAAGCCTGAATGCTCCGTGCCAGTACAAAAATTCATTATAAATGAAGCATCGAGAGTAAAGAACTACTAATTGCATCGTAAAACTGGGCAGTGGTGATATGCTGCTAATTGCAATAGATTTGTCATAAAGAGAACCAGCATAATAAAGCTCTTGGTTCCGATAAGCGCATGCTGGTATGAACGTTATCGCCCCAAAGCTTTTAAGACCTTTCACAATCATATAAATAATACATAGCCAACAGTTTTTCATTTACCAACTTACTGTGAGCAAAAACGATACAGAATGTTTTTAATAAATATTCATTATATTAAATCGGTATGAATATTTCGCATAATAATCATTATTACTATTATATTTATTATTATTATCAGTTAGTGGGATTGCTAGTGCCATGCTCTAATGTGAATACGAATATTGATTAAAAATATCACTCAGCTATACCTTGCAATAGCACCGACACAGTAATGAAAAAAAAAAAAAAAAAAAAAAGATTCACAATTTCTTTTGTGTTCAAAGAAAAACAGGCCCCACTTTATATTAAGTGGCTTTAAGTACCATGTACTTACATTGAAATTAATAATTTGATACAATGGAATTATTGTGTACATACATGTTTTTACATTGTACTTATATTTTACAAATACCAGCATGTAATTACAGATGTAATTAATTTATGTAATTACATCTGTAATTACACAGCTGACCCATCCCTTACACTTAAACCCACCCTTAAGCCTACCCATACCACCACACCTGTCCCTAACCTTACCCGTATCACACCTCATAGCAGCAAAAGTGATTTACAATACAACATGAGCACAATAAGTACATTGTACTTATTTTTAAATGTAAGTACATAGTACTTAAAGCCACTTAATATAAAGTGGGACCAAAAAAAAATGAATACAGTGGTGTTTCTGGGCCCCAATAGCACAGTAAAGTATGACAGACCACAAATAGCAGTTTCCAGATATCCCCATATGTTTGAGCTCTCCCAGATCTTAGTGTCGCTCATTTAGAGGCTTATTTTGTCAGGCAAGTTGCTTGCTTTTCTAACAAGATTTGATATCGCTGACATGGTTGTTTACTTTTTCTTTGCACAATTGCAACGCAGGACTGAATTATCCGCAAGAAGCTCTCACATCACCAGACATGAACCTGTAAATACACCCTAATGGGTTTGTTTGAACTACTATGGAAGCACCGAAAACTCCACCAATCTGATATCCTCAAACTCAGAGGTCGAGGTTTGATTCTCAAGCAGCTTTCGGGACCCCTGGCCATTAGTGTTGTTTACCTTAATGCCACCAGACACATGTCTGACATCAACTTCATTCTTTTCACGTCTACAGGCATAAATGGGCTTTCAAACCTGCCCAATTATCATGTCCTGCACGTGGTGTCAAGGGATACAACATTTTTCCTCCACATTGCATCAGCTCACGAATAGCTGCTAGATTCCACAACAGGCCCTAATTAATTATGTGATGAACTCTATGTTTTGAATACAGTGTGCAAAACTTTAATCATGTGAGTTTCAATAGACCTTATTCAGAGCAGAAAGCAAGCCTGTAAAGGATAGAATTTAACTTTGTTTTCAATGGCATCCTATTTAAAGCTTCTAAATCACTGAAATTTAACAGTAAAACCATAAAGAGATGCATGTGTGTCTCCCTCACATCCTCGTTTTCATTCCCAACGCTATCTCACGACCAATTCGTACAAATTCGAACGAGTAATTAAAAAGTGGCTAATTTTACGGTAACACTTTACAATAAGGTTCATTAGTTAACATTAGTTAACTAGATTATTTAACATGTACAATATGTGAACAATACTTGTTCAGCATTTATTAATCTTAGTTAATATTAATTCCAACATTTACTAATACGTTATTAAAATCAAAGGTTGTATTAGTTAACATTAGTTAATGGACTGTGAACTAACATGAACGCACAATGAACAGCTGTATTGTAACTAATGCATTGCTCATCGTTAGTTCATGTTAGTTAATGTTAGTTAATGCATTTACTAATGTCAACTAATGAACCTTATTGTAAAGTGTTACCAATTTTACTAATTCATACGACCTCACTCGTACGATTTGTCTAAACCCATGTGATGGGTAGGTTTAGGGGCGGGGTCAGGGGTAGGTCATTCGTACAAATTCAAAAAAATTGGCCAATTCGTAAAATATGTACGATTTAGCAAAAATCGTACGAGTGAGGTCGTACGTTACGAATTAGCCACCCAGTAAAATTTGTACCAATAGCCGTGAGATCGGGTTGTCAATCCAGGTAAAAAACAAAGATGGCGCTGTTGTGAAGAAGGTCTATGATCATGTTTTTTTCCAAAATATATTGTAAAATATTAAATGTTAAAAAAATATATGACAACATGTTTTTACATTGCTCATCAAAATGAGTTTAAAATCAACTTTTAAAAATAAGCTATACAATATTCAACTTGTTAAGTCAGTTTAATGTAACTAAAGTTGAAATGAAGTTGATTGTACTTAAAAATGTAAGCCAATTATTTACAGTGAAGATCGAAAGTGTTGTTAGTTAAATAGTTGATACAGTGCCGAAGTTATGACGTCACTTTGTAGGACAACTCGGAAGCTAGCGGCGCATGGGTTCCCTCGGTCGAAAAGCAATGCATTTTCCCCATAGACTTTTGGAAAATCGCAAAAAAAATAAGATCTGTGTTCAACAAAGAGTTGTGACCCGTACACGTTTTGTCTATGAAGATATTCTTTATCTTTAAAGTTATAATCTTAAAGTTAATTCAAAATGTATACATTATGAAGCCTATATAAAGTTTTAAAAAACACAAGCAGACACATTAAAGTTAAAAAACCACAAACAGGTTATAACTGTGTGTTTTATGTCATAAATCAAAACGTGAAAATATTTGGAGGCTTTGTTCACCACAGACATTATTTCAGGCGATTTAGCAAAAATGCATTCAAAAATCCCATAGACTTTAGAGCGAGGGAACCTTAGTGCTAAAATGCTAACTCGCTTCCGCATTTTGGCCTACAGAGTGATGTCATAACATCGGCACTCTATTACCTTAACTGAATAGCTTCGGAGTTAGTGCAATGCTTATATGACTATATTTGGGTTGAATGTTGGGCGTCTCACTTAAAAATCAGTCCGTTTCATTCCCAGGTAACATTTACTGAAGCACTTTAGAGTCAACATCCGACCTTGCCAATGTCCTTTATTAGAGGAAGAAAAGGTTGATTATATTTCTATGAAACCGATTACAAGATTATTTCTAGCATTATTATCCATATATGTCAGGAGGACACTTTATATAGCAAATAGATTATTGCATTATTATTATAATGAAACATTACCATCTCAAATGTCTTGACATAGAACTTCAGTTATCAATATTTTTTAAGAGTTTGCAGATAATGTGACCGTGGAGGGATATCGGATTATGACTGCGACTTCAACAAATGTAGTTGCGCATTTTTTTTTTTTTTACATTTTATAAAGAGAAAATCTAACACTGCACCTTCAAAACTTTCTGAAACTTACTGAAACTATATAGCAATCCTTATATGGTACAGCTTACAGTATGATAGACAGCATTAGCAAACAAAAACAAAAAAAAAAAGAAAAAAAGACATTTTTCATCCCAAGCTTCTGTTTCTCTAAAGATAAGAGCAAAGCTGACAGATCATTGAAACACAGAAAGCTTTGAAAACAAACCAGGGTATTGAACATCGTTTTTCACTGGAAAACCATTGTGCTTTAAAGGTTTATGTCATAATGACAAATACATAGAGACACAAATTCCCTTTTAAATGTGTGGCTGCTTTTGTAAACAAATTGGAATGCAGTCCTGCTGTTTCTTGCTCTTTTTTTTACTTAAAGAAATCTGCCAGAAGAGCAAGTTGGGAAACTGAGACAAGGCAAGAACTTCTTGACATATCTGGCTCCAAGGCTCTATCTAGACCAGCCATTTCAAATGCTTCGGTATCAGGGTTGTCTTTGCTCAGATATGTTTTTCTGTAGAAAAGTTTGGGGTTTTACAGTGTTCCCACAAACCAAATTGGTGGAGCTTTTGAAAGTATGCTGGGTATGAGAGCTGAGCTGACCATCCTAAAAGACATTTGTTAAGAGAATCTCATGCAGAAGTGTTACATCAGGATAACTTACAGTTGTTCCTGAAAACTCAAAATGCTCATCCAACAATAAAGGATTGGCTGGTGAGACCATGGGATTCGACTCACTTTCTGTCAGGGAAAACAAAAAGCAAGTTTAAGGGATCTCTTACAAAAAATAAAATACTTTTTATTAAGTTTTTTATTAAGTATACTTAAGTAAAGTTCAAGTATATCTAAGTAAGTATCAATGAACTAGTATACGTATGCCAATATGTGGGGCTAAATTGGCCCACATTTTAATGTATAACAGTATTAGTGTAACACTTTGAGAACACAACTAGTTTATAACTAAGGTTTAATTTGTGCTGCAACTAAACTACACGACACGTGACAACATACAGGTACACTGATAGTTTACTAATCAAATACTTGGACACAATGGGCACCAGTATCTTTAACAAAAATAAAAAAAAGTAAACAGAAAGAAGTGAAAGTTTCTATTTGAAAGAGATTAAATTATGATTTTACAGTACCAATAATTGTAGTAATTTTGGTTGATACTATAAGAGTAACACAGAGTTAAGTTATTTTATAAATAGTTTTCTTTTTACCCATTTTAATGATATTGTTCATATTCAGCTTTGTTTTCCAACGCATAAAAATGACATACAAGACAAATCTTACAAGAAAAATCGTTTTGTTTTCTCCACACAAATACATGACTATTCACATTTCTAGAGGGTAAACACGATAAAAACAAACAAAACACAAACTTTAGCATATCGTGTTATACTTATCATATTCAATGGGTCACATTTTTGCGATGGTCTTCCAGAATAGTGGCACAGCTACATTTCTGTAAGGTTGAACACCAAGCTTTAGTGTTTTATGTCGAAAGGGGCCGATCAGCGCAGTCTTCCTTTGCACCGCATTGAGTCACAGCAGCAGAGCATAACCTTCTCCTCCACACTGCCCACCTCGTAGTTATAATCCCACGTCAACTCCGTTCCTGCCTTGATGTGCCGGCTAAAGAGAGAAGGAAAAACAGGATACAAACACATTAAGATTCCTGTCTACAAGGCAAATAGCTAAGGGGCTCTTCACACGGAGTGTGTTTAACCATTCCACTGCTTTACTTTCTCATAGTTTATGGACGTGTTGTTCACGAGTTTTGCGTATTGCATTTGCGTAACGTCTCAAGAATGCATTTTTCAACTGTGCAACATTTTTAGAAAACATTTTGGAAAGTGACGACGCTCTAAAAACGCATGTCTAGACCTTCCGTTTTTCTGTTCCACTGGCCTGCGTCTCGTGACTTTAACTGCACTCTGTATCAGGGCTTAAAGGGATACTCCACTTTTTTTTTGGAAATAGGCTCATTTTAACACTCCCCCAGAGTTAAACAGTTGAGTTTTACCGTTTTCAAATCCATTCAGCCGATTTTTCGTATATTTAGAAGAATATCAGTAACCAGACAGTTTCTGGTCTCATTGACTTCCATAGTATATTTTTTTTCCAACTATGGAAGTCAATGAGACCAGAAACTGTCTGGTTACTGATATTCTTCTAAATATACGAAAAATCGGCTGAATGGATTTGAAAACGGTAAAACCCAACTGTTTAACTCTGGGGGAGTGTTAAAATGAGCATATTTCCAAAAAAAGTGGAGTATCCCTTTTAAGCTACACTGTGTAACTCCTTTTAGTTTATTCTTAGCTAAAAACACTTAGTTCTTTCAAAATATATGTGCTCATTAATGTATATTTACTTCATTCAAGTAATAAAGTATTCTTGTGAGTGTATAATATGCCATTGAAAATACTGTACATACAGGTAAGGGGTTCTAATGTCGGTCGCCATGTTGCCTCTCCATCTTGAAAGTACATTAGCCAAAGAGGGACATACCCGTTAATTCAAGCTTCGCCTTTCGCGTTTACGTTTGAGTTAACACTCATGGACGAGGTCGAACTGGAAGCCATGTTAATCTTGGACTACATTGGCCACCGTTGGAGTTAAAACGAAATCGGAACTGAGAGGAACAGAAACTTAAATTCACTGGATGGTCATATACCTTTTCACCACTAGATGGGGGTAAAAATCACACAGAGTAGCTTTAAAAAACATAAAAAAAAAACCAATTCATCACAGAATGAACGCATGAAACGTTTCGGTTTTCACTTTAAAACCTTAATTTCTTTTCGACTGAAGAAAGAAAGACATGGACATCTTGGATGACATGGGGGTGAGTAAATTATCAGCAAAAGTTTTTTGAAAAGTTAACTACTCCTTTATCTAATCATAAAGTCAATCAGGATACATAACACAGCTTACAGTTAGTTAGTTACCCTTTAATAGAGTGATGAGGGTACGGCGGCAGAATCCGGAAGGAAAATCGAAGGAACCAGCGGCCAATTAGACTTCAGGGTTCTGACCTCAAACCTACACCACTCTATTCAACTACTTTAAATGCGTCGATTGTCGCTCAGTTTATAGTTCATAGTTTAAGAGCGGAATGACTCTCCTGTTCATAGATGCACAAAGGGATGATTGCTTTTGACCTTGACAGTATAATCTACAGTATGTTTGTTAGCATTTCATAAGAGTTGCGTATAATAAGTTTTTATGCCATTGTCCGCTCTTCTATAGCACGGACCGCAGATATTCAGGTTCTTTTTTTCTCAAGAGGTGTGTGACTGTCCCCAAAGGAAAACAGAAATGACCTTCCTTTCCTTTTCATATGGAAATGTTTTACAGCTACCATCATGAGGGCTTAATGGAGCTTGACTATTTGATCTAGAGCTTAGCTCAACACAGTCGCTCACACCGGCACTGAACAATCACCACCATTTTCATTTCTCTCAAATATCTCCTGTTTAGAATTCGGTGTGGCCAGAATGCCTTTTCATGCTGGAAAGGAACATCAAACTACTTTGCACATATTAACTATTAGTGATCTGAACAAACTCAGCGCATAACATTTGTACTAAAGACATGAATAACACCTCAAAAATAACTTGTATAATGACTTTTCGCATATATTATAGGTGAAAATAAAATTCCAACACAGTAAAGCAACAATCAGTAAAAAATATCTCTTCCACGTACAGTACATTTCAGTGTTTGACCTATAGCTGTGACCATGACAATAATTCGCTTAGTTTCTGTTTGTGTTGTCACACTGAGTGTGTTTTCAGTGTGGACAGATCGTATCAGTCTAAATTAAATGATCGCACCCTAGCAACCACCCAGAACACCCTAGCAATAAGCAAAAACCTTAGCAAATGCCCTGGCAAAAACGCTGGCATCATGGCAGCAAGTTTTGTTTGTGCACAAAATTAGCATACTATTACAATGCAGAACATTTATAGATCCAGTTTAGATTTATGTCCAGCTAAATGAAATGATAATATCAGTAAGATGTCATATAGCCTCATTTAAAAACGTCAGGACTGGAGGGGAATTTGATTACAGGACCATAAAGCTGTAATTTATGGGATAATAATATAGCACTTTGGATCTCTGTCCTTGGTCTTCAATGCATCTTCCGCTTATGCTGTCACCTGGAGCGACTGTGACAAGAAAAAGCAAAACAAATGATTACAATTTTGATCACAAACTACCGCACTTCTTGTTTGATCTGTCCTACGGTCAGTTTGGGATGTAAATGTTCTCATTGTGTTGCTTGTCAAGGAACTATTAGATTAGCACACAGTTCCTATCAGTTCTCAAGCACTAATGATTTTACAACAAATAGCTCCATAAAATATCTTCAAATCTGTGTATATGCTATGGCAAATTATGCATATGGCTACAGTTCCCCCATATATAATGGGGTTGTTCAGCAAGCCAAGTTTATTCATCAAGCACATTTCCACACACATAGGCATGCTAAAAAATAAGACACATAAAGGTAATGTTTTAAATCCTGTGATCATAAGGTCATTAAAAATGCACTAATTACTACCTAATTACATTTGTTGATGTAATTTAATTTAGTCAGATTCATTAATTAAATTAAATTATATTCTGACTTGAATGCAACCAATTAATTTAGCTTTGGGGTTATGAAGCAGAACATTTTTTACAATGTGAATGAAAACTGAAAAAGAAAAGGTAAATAAAAAGGATTTAAAATGAAAATACATTGAAATAAAGTGCACACTGATCCTCGAGTCACACAGTGTGTCTCAGTGTTCAAAGTATGCAGAATTTCCCTTAAGCAAGCATCATTTGTGTCAGTGTGAGATTTACAGGGTGGCAGGAATATTCCTTCCATAGAAATTTGCAAAAATCATACATTTCCACTTCAGGAAATCACACAAAATCTGCACACAAGTAGTGTGACTGAAAATGAAGAGATGCGAAATAAGCCCTATCCACTTTTGCATATTTTTTTTTTCTTTCTAGTACCGTATATCATTTTCTTCTCAGTGTTTTAAGCCAAGACATGAAACCCAAAATGTGCAATGCCCAATTTGTGGCTATGTTTTTAATATGGAGAGGTCTTTTTTTCAATTTAAATTCTGAAAACATGAATCAGCCAATGAAAGAGTTAATTTCTGGCACTGACAATAATGCCAAAAAAATGCCAAATATTGGATAATTAATCAGTGTTATCAATTTATAACACGTTTATAAATTTCTTCGTTGCCTTCGCAACAGTGCACAGTAATTAACAAAAATAAAAGAGACGCATCCCTCTGGACCTCGTCACACTTGGCTCCTTCTTGGTCAAAAGTGACAGCCTTAAAATTTAACTTCAATGTAATACATTTTTGTTCATATTTCACATTAAAATAGATTGGAGGCCTTTTATATATATATATATATATAATTTTTTTTTTTAATTTTTAATAAAAAAAAATAAGGAATGGATACTGAAAATTCTTCATTGTTGTGCACTTTTCTCTGCACAGTGGCTGATCTGTAGGTTGTACCACCGAAATATTCTCGGAGTTTGCATATTTTTTTTCATATTTCCCATTCATTTTGGTCATTTTTGACCATGAAGGAGCTATGTGTGACTTTACTTTTTACCCTTTAACATCTGAATCATGTCCATGATTCATTTTTTGTGTGTTTACAGCCAATGCGACAAAAGTCACCAATTGTTGTTATCTCATTCTGATGAAGCAAACATAAATAATTAAAATAAAGAAATAAATAAATTAATATATATATATATATATATATATATATATATATATATATTCTGTACGTTCTGCCAGAAGAGGCACAGAGGGTTAAAAAAAAAAAAACCTTAACTACCAAATAGTAGAACTTTTCTGATAGAGTTCATGCCTTTACAACAAAAGCAAGTCACTGGTTGTTCAGGTCACTGACTGACACACACACAAAAACCCAGCAAAGTACTGAAATGAGTCCAGTCTGTTCCAGTCTATAGTGAATGAAAAACTGGAGAGATGGCCTAAATACAGGAGAGAACAGAGAGAATTCCCCCCTTATAAGCTCATAATCTTCAGAGAAAGTTCCAGAAAAGTCCTCTGCCACTCTTCACTTTTCTCACCATACAGTAGCCAAGGCAGAACCCAGGGTACCAGCGCTGCGGTGCGGAGATATGTTTGTTTGCTGAAATACATTAACATCTTCACAATCGCTTCTCGTCATTGTCTTCAACGCTTTCACTGTCACACATATCCGTCTCTCTCCCTCTTTCCTCTGATTCAATTCACTCCTGTCAAAAACAGCGGGTGTCTGGAATTAGCACATCGCACTGAGGTTGTAGGCCAGGATTACTTTTCCCTGGGCGCAGTCACACATCTGCGCTTTTCTCAAAGCGGGAAACATGATCCAAATGCTTCTGTCAGGGCCGTTGTTACTGGGGCCGTCAATTGATTCAAAATTTTAACCCAATAATTCAACATTTTTTTTAATCGTCTGACAAAGGCAGTATGAAGATCAATCAGTGGCAGGTCTTATATTTAGGCCGTGTGTCCACCAAAGCGTTTTTCCATGCGCCTGGCGTATGTTTTCAATTGTTTTCAATGAGAGCGCCGCGTTTATTA